GGAATATTATTTGCCGTTTAGTTTAATGATCTCGGTTTTTGCAAAGAAAAAAAAAGATTGCATCTGTAAAAATTTGCACCAAACTATGTTCAAAGGTTAGTGCACATGTTTAAAAAAAATCTCAACTTTACCGAACTGAAGAATTTGACATACTAGCAAAAAGGAGAAATGAAGAGAAACTCCCACAAACACACACATGACAACGTAACATGACATAACATATACTATAACATAACATTTAACATAATGTTTTCTTCCTCTAATATCTCTTTTCTCTGAATGACCAAAAAAAAAAAAACCCCATACACGAAACCAAATTATTTTCCATTTTTTCTCAGTTAAATGTTTTTGTTAGGTTTTTAAGCAGCTGAATTGTTGGATTTCCCCAGTACAATGCTGGGGGAAGAGGGGAGTTAATTTATGTTAACTAAAGAATTTAACTGAATATTTAAGGAAGCTAGAAAACCCAGAAGATTGGAAACCGCACTGTCAGTACAATAGACTGATTTACAGGAAAAACTGTGTTTCCCTTTCAATTGACAATCTGCTTGTGCCCCAATCCTAAACACATCATTGGGGGGGGGGGGGAATATGACTGAAATCAATGGAATTTAATCTCAAGTAAAGATTGAGAAACAAAACATGAAGCCTTTCGTGTAATGCCAGAACCAGCATCTCTAGCAAAGTTTCTTTACTCTCTATTTCAAAGATTCCTCTTCTTTTCTTTTCTTTTCTTTTCTTTTCTTTTCTTTTCTTTTCTTTTCTTTTCTTTTCTTTTCTCTTTTTCTCAATCAACCTGCAGCATGCACAACCGGCCCTTCCCACATGAATTTTATGGGATGCTGCTTAAAAACCTGTGGGCCATTCACTGAACTTTATTTTCAGATTAGATAAGAAAGCGAGCAGAAGATCAGGTCTCCGTCAAAACGTTCAGAAATTCCTGCCATGTTCTGATTTTGAAGCACGTTTCTCAGAAAGAAGGAACTGATCTGGAGACCTTTTTTGAGTTTGTGTTTTGGTTGTTGCTCTTGGCGTTGAGTGTTTTTGATTCTTAGGACCTCAAAATACAGGTAGTCCCTGGATTAAGAACGCCCAGGTTACAGACAACCCATAGTTAAGTTTGGAGCCTACTGTAGTAAAATTCAAGTTAAATACACAATGGTTCAAGTTCATTACACAATACTACCTATACAGTATTATACAATAATACTGTTCCGGCTTACATACAAATTCAACTTAAGGACAGACCTTGGGAACGGAACTTGTTCTTAAAATGGGGACTCCCTGTAGTAAAGACAAATACCAAGTTGTCATCCAGGTAATAAAACTGTTCTCTGGTCTGCATTATTTCATTGACTGTATTTATCTGAAAGGAAGATTGTTGATTTACAAATAAGGTATCTTTAAAGTGGAAAGGCTGTCTTAGAATAGTTGAGGACATAGAAATTAAGACAATAAAGGGCTGCTGTTGTTGTTTTCTAATTTTGCAGACAGCATTGTCCTTAACAGGGGGTAGAAGACCCCTAATTTTCTGTGCACCACTTATAATTATTATTATTTATGCGCAGACTACCAGATAGTTCTGATTGGATTTGGTACTTTTAACCATCAGATCCTTCCCAAAGATCTAGGACAATTAAAGATATCATAATATCTGTGGTGTTCCAAGTAACACAACTTTTTGTAAGCAATATGTTGAGATCCTGGCCATCCCTACTGTGCCCACATGCTTTTCCAGATCTTTTGGGATGGTACCATTGGCAACACTATTACTCCCCCCCCCCACATCTGCTCAAGCTCTTTTTGAAGGTTTTTAGATGTCCCCATTTTTTTCTAGTTATTTCATGCTAATCCTTCTATCTCCAGCTACTGCAGTGTCAACTGATTGATTGATTGATTGATTATGTATCATCAAGTCATTTTTGACTCCTAGTGACCACACAGATAGACCACCACAATGTCATTTGCCCATAATTATTTCTTTGTAACTACAGTCATGTGCAAATAAGGAGGAGGAGGAGGATTTTAATGAAAGAGAATTAATTCAGTTGAATCTGAAATTGTACAGTCTGGAAATATTTGGCTATCGCATCATTGTTCCTCTCAACAAATCTTTGAGGAATATCTTTATGTACTATCAAAAGTAAAACAAAAGTTTATGTGGTTTGCATCCCTTTTCAACAGAAGAAATGAGGCAGAAAAACACAAAGATTCCCCTCACACACAAGACAACAAGCATTACTGGGAGGAGCACCAACGGGAGAAATGGCAGAGGAGGCATCAGAAAGGAAAATCAAGCTGTGTGGAGAAAGATGTTAAAAACAAAAATAATAGCGCTTTTCTCCTCCTGTGGTTCACAAATATACACTAAGGGGTATTTTACACACCTCTATCTCTGAGGGAAGGTTATTCTCTAGAAAGAATAGGAAACAAGCTTTCCTAATTTAATCCTTTTGTACATTTCTTTCATGAACATTTGTATTTTTGTACAATTTCTTTCTTTTTTTCTGTCTCTCTCTACACACACACACACACACACACGTTTTAAAAACTGGCAACCTGCAGTGCAAAATTCAAAAGAGCTTCAAACAATAACTTAAATTCATTTTGGGAATCGGATCAGAAACACGAAGTTCATACTCAGCTGATCTTGTGATGGTTCAAATCCAGTCCAGCTCTAGACAACGAGTTGAGTGGCCAACACAGTCAAAGCAAGGCAGAACCTTGAACATGAGCTACCAAGCTAATCTTTCCAGATCCCAATTCCCTTCATGCACATAAGGGAACAGCAATGGCATCCGGCCAAAGGACCCTTGGTAAACACAAGCATTTTCTTCCCAGTGACACAAAATGTGCTGCGTTCAGTATCCGACGGAGCTCCACATCCAGGTTCTTCCTTTGCCAATGTTTGAAAACACTGGAAAGGATGACTCACAGCTTACACTAAAGGCTTTCGTTTGTTTTGGTGTAACTGCATAAGCAAAGAAAACATACATTTTAAAATAAATATTTTCTAACTGACGTTTGCATGGGAAGGAGTTAATGTGCCCATTTGTTATATTTGCAAATTAATAGTCCTCGACTGAGCAAAAAGTCATTACTACTGCTATTAAGGCAATACAGGAGCTGAACCTGTTCCAGCTGTGAACTGGTCCAACGTTTTTCTCTCCAACACACAACCTTCACTGGGTTTTGGTGTTTAAGCAGCTTGTTCTCCAGAAGTTGCTCTACTGAAGAAACTGACTTTGCAGAATAAGAAGAAGAGCCTGAAAATCAATTCATTAGTGGCTATAGTGAAATTGCTCAGAGTATAAACAATACCATGATAAGGTTGCAAAAGTTGTCCGTTGGAATTTAGGTAGGAAATTCAGCTTTCCTGTTTGCAAAAACTACTGGGACCATGTGGCTGAAAAGGTTTTGTAAAATGAGATCAAAATGTTGTGGGATTTCAAACTTCATACTGATAGGCCCTTTGAATATAGTACACCAGACATTAGTGTGGTTCGTTGATGTGGCAATACCTGGAGACAGTTGAATTCATGAAAAACAACTGGAAATATAACAAAATGTCATGATTTACAAACTGAGGTTGAAGATTATCAAGGAAAAGGTTGATTGTCGTACTGATTGAACTGAAGCTTTTGGTGCAATACCAAAAGGATTTGCCAAATATTTAGACATTTTAAACTTACTGGATTTGATACCACTAATCTTGCAAAAGACCTCTCTGTTTGGAACAGCATACCTTTTACAGTGGTACCTCCACGATTCTTAAATCTTGGTTAGGAGCCAAGTCACTGGAGTCAAAATGCAGTCTATTATTCATCCAGATGCATGAACATTTTAATAGTAACAGCACCACAACAACCACATACCAGCTATAATCATTTGCAATATTTGCATGGTATTTAAAATGTCAGAATGTTTCATATTCATTGCTTAGTTTCAGTCCTAATAACAGTCATGTGAAACGTCTTCTCCTGTTCAGGGGAAGGGACTTAATGCCCCCTTCCAAATAATGTCAACTGTTCTCCTAAGTCTTCTGGAACTATCAAGCTTGATTTTTTTGAAAGCTTGCCTGGATCTTCTCCATGACTCATGACCCTTCGGATACCAAGAAATTCTGCAATGGCACTGTCCCATCATGGACAACAGAAATTAAAACAAGAGTTGGTGTTCAGTTACAAGGGGAAGAGAAAACTACTTCTAGTTTTCTTATTCACACACGCACCAAAAAAAGATCTTGAGAGAAATCCAAGGGTGAAATTGCACTAGAACTTATTGGAGAATGTAATTCATACATGTAGGCCTGAATCAAGATACTCACTTCCTTTCCCACCAGAGGTCTCAGGTGTTAACTCAGATAGCAAAATAATGTATTTGCATTTTTATCTCCTACTTTTGAGAATACTTTGTGATTAACTCTCCTGATCTTCAATATATAAAAGTCTCATGTTGAATTCTTACAGATATTTTACTTATTTTGCCATTCAGCTGAACAGATAAAGGCACAAGCTACATGAAAATACAGGTGTTGGCTCACTCCCCAAAGTCCCAAGATTACACCAGAAAGATTAAATCCCAAAGTTTTTCAAGTGAATTATCAAGAGGAAAAAAAGTGCCTTCAGCTAAGCATGTTCAGAATTTCCTTACTTGGTGGTGAAAGCTGAGTAGGTTTTCCTCCAAGAAAAAAAGATTAAGGCTGGCCATGATCACTGTCTTTAAAAAAAAAAAAAAAACGGTTAGGAAGAGTCAGAAAAAGAGCTTCTGCCTTTTAATAAAATTTGTGAGTCAGAAAAGGTGCTGCCTGATTTTGTGTTACCGCAGACAAGCACGGCTCTCCTCCTACGTCTTTGTATCAGACAAGTCCACAAAAGTTCTATTGAAATAGGAAATTTGTAGTGCTCTTGGAAATGTTTGCGCAACTTTGTTGCCTGTTTGGGTTAATAATATCAGTGTTAATAAATAGTATTAAAGGAAGAAAATGTATTAGAGTTTTCATGCAACAAAAAAACTCACGTGCGTTTTTTAAAATGTCCGTAGATAGTTATAGAGCCTTTTCAGCATAGCTTTCCTATAACTAGTTGTGGTTTCTCAGAGACATGACTGATAATATGATGATAGGGATGTTGATGATCAGCCCAGATCAATCCATTGTAAGACGAAGGCCTCTTCATTTGAAGGTTATGGACTATAATCTACCACTTGGTCCAGTGAAGGTTGGTAGACAGGTGCATTGTTGGGAGGGTTCAAGGACCATGCAACGGACAGATCATCCTGGAGAAGCTCTATCTATGTGGTGCTAAAAATCAACATCACCTTAATGGTGCTCGTGCATACATGCACATATTTTTTTAAAAAGAAAATAAAACATTACATGGCCCTGAATCATTTCAAGAAAGTTGCTAGTGGTACAACAATTCTCTATTTTGTTTGATTGCGCTAAAATAAATTTTCCAGTGATTAATACAATTAAAACTTGTTAACCAAAAGATGTCTTCTCTTGTAGAGGAATGACTCAAAGAGACATCCAATTACTTTGCTTCTTGAGGTGCCTTTAGATTAAATAATCCAACAGGACGTTGGGAAAGATTTGTTCTTCTCTGAAGAGCTCTCCTGCAGGTGATTCAAGGTGTTTGGATAGAGCTCCTGATCTCAGGATGGAATGACACTTTTGAGGAAGCCATTTCTGTGATTTAATAGAAAAGAAAATCAGCTCCAAAAAAATCACTCTGAAATGGGGTCTTAAAATACCAAATGGAAGAGGAAGGGTTGTTTTCAGCAATGCTAGAAAGATCTTGGTTGAGGGCATTCCACAAACTGAGTTCCACCAGTAAAAATGCTTTGCCTCTGATGAAGATTCGAGGGAGAAAGTGTAGAGTAGTAAAGGAAGAGCTTTAAAGGTTAAAACCAGGACTTTGAGTTGGGGCTAGAAATGGACTCACAGTCAAAGCCTGTATAATTGCTTCCATCAGCTCCAATTAGCTGTCATGTTTCGAATTCACTTTCCAAACCATTTTCAAAGCCAGGCCTAGATCTTCTTTGCAAAGACGATATCTCGGGTCCAAATAAAACCAGAGCACTTGTATTCACCCCAGCCCAAACTACATGGCAGAGCTCACATTCAAATCAACATGGGGTGGGCTGCCCGAACACTCCATGGTGGACGGAACCAAGAAAAGCTGAAATGGGAACCCCATGGAAGAGAGGGAAGAAAGAGAGGGCAGAAGGAGATCCGATTTGGCACAGTTCATTCAACTGCTTTAATTGCTTTCTTGTAAAGTATATTCTGAATCTCATACGCTGGGGTGCAAATGTGTGTGTGGTTTCATTACATTTCCTTTCCAGGGAGGGAAGGCAGAGACGTAAGGGTGGTGCACGAATTGCACAATGTCAAAAATAATGCACATAAACACACACAGGGTTGGTTTGCTCTTTCTCCTCTCTTCTCTTCTCCCTTGTGCCTTCTCTCCTGTTCTGTCTTCTAACGGTCAAAGATCTGGGGCAGGAACTCTAAAACTTGGGGGGGAAGGGGAAGGCACATGTTTTGTGGCCTAGGCCCCTTTTATTTGTTTTAGGGAAGTTGGTCATATTCCAAGTTCCTCTCCCACAGATTGTTCCTGTTGTTGTCATTGCATCTGAGCTTTGCTCGTCATGTGGCTACCCACCAGTGTGTGTGTGTGACCTGAACTCAATTCAGCTCACCCCATACTCTGCCACCTCCAAGCAAAAGTTGCGGCTTCTCTGCCTGTCATGAAAAGCCATCTTGTCCAGCAAGAGTGGCCTCCTTTTCTGGCGTCAGTTCTCTCTAGTGGTGACTGGAGCCATTCTCCTACTAATGGTTCTTCAGGTTCATGAAGGAGCACATGAAGAAGAACATTTCTCTTCATGGGTGAAGTGGAATGTTCTTCTCCATGTTTAGGGCATTTAAATTCCCATCTTTGATTGCCCATCCCTCTTTCCGGCTGCCTGAAGTCTCCCCTAACTTCCCATGTTTTCATTAGATTTCAAAAAACAAAGACCTCTGTGGGCCTTTTTCAGTTGTGGTGCTCCTGGAGCAGGTAAGAAGAGAGTCATACTTTCAAAAAATGGTTGGAGAATTTCTCCTTCCCTTGGAGAAATCCAGCTAAATCAATCACTTATTTTCTTTACCTACAGGTTGCTGGAGAATTTAGAAAAGCCTTTGTGCTCAACTTAGGACAAAGACAATCTTCTCTTAGAATGGCTTAATTAAGCTACAATGGAAAGAAAAGAAAAACAACAGCATTATTATTAATATATGTATTTCAGTTAACAGAAACCACACATCACAACAGTTTTAAAAGAAAATGAATGCAAAAAAAAGACTGGAATTTTACTCCATCCACGGAGCACCCTAAGAAATCTGACTAAATTGCTTAAAAGTTCTCCTCTTTGTTTCTCTGCTCAAAAGGGGCGAATTCAAACGCTGTCAAAGAACATAACCCCAAAAAATCAACTCCTGCAACGCAGGCACTTCCTTCCCACATTGTACATAAAGATTTGGGGAGAAGGGGACTATCCTTCGCCCATGTGCAAAGTATCCATGCTTTGAGAAACTGCAAAAGCTGGAGTTACAGTGAAGAACAGGTTCTGCAATGAATTCCAGAGCAGAACAGGACTATCAAGGCTCCCTTGAGCAGAAGCAAATCTTGTCTAGATTCCTGCTAAGAATAAATAGCCAAAGGCAAAAGAAGTGAAGGTTGAGCTGGAAGTGAGCACCTGTGCAGGCACCTAAATCATCGTTGGGGAGGGGGATGCATTTCCATTGAAACCGTAGTTACTCTTTTTGGATTTGCATCTGTGTTTCTGCAGATCTCCTTATCTCCTTATCTCCTTGATGGACTGGCTTGCACTATGGCCGAGCAGCTGCCTACTTCTTGTTCTCCTAGACAAGGTAAAATCTTATGGAGGCCTGTGCTAAGAGCATTGACATGCAGATCTAAATAAATTCAGTAATTTACCAGCCGTATCAGCACAGGACCGCCCAAATCCAGTATCCAAGATGCAACATATAAAGCATCCAGATGTGTTCTGTCTCTTGTAAGGGAGGATGACTCCTGACCCATCAGTTTGTACTGAAGCATTCATAACCCAGTGAAGTTAAGAGGGAAAACTGTTGAGCGGTAGAAATAAAGAAATGGAACCATATCTAGAATGGACTTGCCTAGTGGGCCCATATAATGGCAACTACTTTCAACTTGGAAACTTCTGGTGATTGGGGGATTCCATCTAGCCAGAACCAGTTATGGCCCAAACATTTCAGCGGTACCAGATTAGAGAAGGATGCTCTACAAAGACTGTGGTTTCAATCCAGAATTTTTATCAGTCCTCAAAAGTCTATCATCATAAACTAAGGACTTGAATTTTTAAGTGGCTTCTAAAATCACAGAACAGGTCATGGGAAACAACTCTCCACATACAGTAAGGGGCATAATATAACTGAACAGTTGGCCCAGTTAAAAGCAGCTGTGCTATTAGAGAAGCCCCCCCCCCGAAACAAGAGGGCTTAACTTACACATTTTGAAGCGAGTGAAGCAATAAACATTACTCAATTTTGGAAAATGATTCATATTAGAATGAAACAAATTTAGAAGTTGAATTCCCACTTCAACCTACAATATTCTTATTATACTTCACCAAACTAAATATCCCTCCCAAGTCCACTGAATTAGTATTATACAATATAGAACAGTGTTTCTCCACCTTGGCAGCTCAAAGATGTGTGGACTTCAACTTCCAGAATTCCCCAGTCAGCATGGCTGGCTGGGGAATTCTGGGAGTTGAAGTCCACACATCTTAGAGCTGCCAAGATGGAGAAACACTGGTATATAATAATCGGTGAAAGTATACAATATGCTTCTTGCTGCAAAGGTTGTCTGATTCCTTCAGTAGAAGATGGCTAACCAGGTTCAGGGAGTAGACTTCTCTGTCTAAATTAACTTCCTACCTTAACAGACAATCTGACACAGATTTCAGCTCAAACTGGAAACCATTCTTGGACTACAGCAAATACATGGATTGGTTCCACACCCAAAATCTGGGTTTATCTCTACCTAGAACATTTATTTCAATTTTACAAGACACTTAAATCAGAATAGATGTTAGGAATATGGATTGAATTTATTATAACATTATTTTATTTGGTGGGTTTATATTGTGTTAAGTATGATTCTTGATGTTTATTTTTAGTTTAACTTTAATCATGATTCTTAGTCTTGTATCGTGATATAGTTCGTACAATATACTTAACTATTTACAACTAATTAATTGTGTCTATATCTATATGTATGTATATGTGTGTGTGTGTGTCTCTACCCACACACATACACACACATAGTATATATTCCCTTTGAATCAGTTTTTGACTCCTGGCAGCTGCCTGGACAAGTCCCTGCAGTTTTCTTGGCAAGATTTCAGAAGTG